TTGCAGTTTCTAGTAGTAGATTACCATCTACTGCCTAGGAAGTAAAATTGACTGTCGCCATGTAGATTGCAAAATAAGGCATTTTTCTCATCAATAAAATTTCATTCTTTCAGCATGAGTAATTTTGTCAACAACGTTTTGAGGCAGTAACAGTTTATAACAAATTGAGTGAATTATTGTTTCAGGTACTGTGCTGTGTCATACACAGATTTCATTTTATCTTTGCAACAATTCTATACAGTAGGTACTATAATGACACAGATGAGAACACTGAGGTATAGAGAGATCAGGTAACTTGACCAGTAAAACCCAAAAGTGGCTGAGTCTCATTTCAAATCCATGAGCCTTGGCATTTAACCATTACACTCCACTCAGTATTGTGCTAGAGCCTGCTCTTACTGGTTCACAAATTTTCAGGAATTTTTGTAAGCTGGTTGTTAAACATGTTCATTATTAAAAATTAAATTATATAATCTTAAAAGTGAATAAATTACATTAAAACCAAAGGAAATACATACTCTAAATTCATCACTCCTCAATTATTTACTATACTTTACTGTTCTGACTCTCGACATTATTTATATCTTTTGGGTCTTTCTGGTAGAATAGAACAGTGTATTACTGCATGTTTCTCCTCAGCTCTGCACTTAGTGGCATCACATTAGCAGCTGAAATCAGCCTGGGATGGAGAATTTGTGCCACAGAAATTGGCCGACAGTATAAATCAGAGTTTTGTTTTCTTTGAATGAGAGCCAGTTGTTAAACATTTATCAGCACAACACTGACCACATTGGTGGTGGTAGTCTTGTCAGAATGTGTTAGATTATGCAGATGAAAATCTATTTAAACAGATTTGATATAGATATTTTCAAAGATGGAAGAATTGTCCCTGTCAACTATGTTAGTTGATTCATATCTTCACTAATTGTCATCATTGCAAAGTTTTCAGTCCCCATATGGATTGCTGGATATAATATGTCACGCCCTGTCCATGTCCCCCTCCCTTTGTAGCCTTTGTGACCTTAAGGACTCTAGTTTTCCATTTATATGTTTAAGTACCAACCTTACCAGCTTAAAAATGTAAGCTTTCAACATTGCTCTGTTCTGTATCCTTCCGATGAAAAGTGGAGTTGGGTTGCGGCACAGGAGAGAAATTCAGAAGGGGAATATTGAAGTAATGACTGCAGTAGGAGAAGAGGGAACCTATTTTCTGGGCCACAGGCGCTGGCGCCCTGGACCACAGGGCTGGCAGCTTCTTCGGGTGGCTGCAGCCTGGGACCTCGGGGCAGGTGGCTTGTCCGTCTCCTGGGCCGCAGCCAGCCACAGGCGCTGGCGCCTGGACCGCAGGTGGGCGGCTTCTCCGTGTCCCCTGTGATGCAGTGTGGGCAGCTTCTCCGGTTGGCTGCAGCCAGCCTCGGGGCAGGCGGCTTCTTCGTCTCCTAGGCTGCAGCCAGCCTCAGGCGCTGGGGCCCGGCTTCTCAGTCTTCCCGAGGACATGGGGCGGGCAGATGTGGGGCAGGCAGCTTCTCCGGCCGGCTGCGGCCTGAGATCACGGGCAGGCGGCTTCTCTGGCCTGCTGAGGCCTGGGATCACGGGCAGGCGGCTTCTCCAGCCTGCTGAGGCCTGGGATCACAGGGCAGGCGGCTTTTCTGGCCTGCTGAGGCCTGGGATCACAGGGCAGGTGGCTTCTCCAGCCGGCTGCAGACTGGGATCACGGGGTAGGCGGCTTCTTCATCTCCCAGGCCGCAGCCAGCCTCAGGCGCTGGAGCCGGACTTCTCTGTCTCCCCTGACTTCTGCATCTCCAATAGGCCTGGAGCGGCCAGAGCCGGGATGCTTGCATGGTAGCTGTGGCTGCAACGCAAGTATCCCAGCTCTGTCCTCCGCCATCTTTGTTGGGTTAATGTGCATATCTCTGGATTGGTTGGTGGGCATGGCTGGTGGGCGTGGCTTGGGCGTAGCGAAGGTACAGTCAATTTGCATGTTTGTCTATTATTAGGTAAGACAAGTTGCTACCTCCTCTATCATGGAAGGGGTTCCATGTAATCAGCTTTCCACCAGAGGAATAATTTGAGCCTCAGGGACCTTATCTGGAGCTCAGGGGTTTGTCACTGCTGGGGGGGGGGGGGGGGAGGGGGCGGGCATTTGGTGGTGGCAGCAATAGGGATCACATTGGGATCAGCATCTGTCACTGGAGTCACTGACTTCAGTTTACAACAATCCACTGACATTCTACAAAGACCCTTCCATCTTAGGTAGAGTGGTGGTAACCAAAATTGCCATCTCTGCATCATTCTGGTCTATGAGTAATGCCAGGGGTCTTTCCCAGCATCTGGAAGGGTTCAGGAATCTGGATAAGGTGCTACGTGTAAATTAATAGACTAGAAATATAATATAAATTTGTAATCCATGGGGGAGCCAGAGGAAGCTTAGCTATAGTAGCTAATTTCTCTTTATCTCCGGACCCAGGGCTCTTTTTATTCCCACATTTTGCCCTATAGCAAAGTAGATATACATACCAAAGGTAAGGTTTAGTATACAGTAGGCATTGTCAGTTTGTGGGGACTGCCTTCAGCTGTTTAGCTGTTTGGCCAGCAGGAGGCAACAACATGTAGATTAAAATGCCCTCAGCTGTCTGGCAGCAAGCAATCATTTATGTAAATTCAGGTTTGGGGGAATTGCTTTCGGCCATTCCAGTAGGCAATAATATGTACCTTCAGCCCTTACTGTAGGCTCAAGGTCTACCAACCTTTTGATGAACTTCTTGCATTTATGAAGAATTGGCCTCCAGCATATGAGGGTGTTCCTAATCCTTGTGACTCCCCGAAAACATGGTATTGATTTTATTTATTATTTTATCATAGAGGCTCCCACTTGGCTCTTCCTCCCAAGACTGATGAAGATGTATCGTGTACTGAGAAGTTTCCTTAACTCAAATCTCAGTCCAAACCACTTCCCATACCACGCACCGCCCCCCCATAAGTAATCAAGATGATAGTCTTCCCACACCGCTGTATTTTCCAAGGCCTTGGAGGAGGGAGTATCTCATGAGTTCTCTCATATGAGGATGAAAGTAGCAGGTCATACATTTAAAACACCTTTACTTCCCCAAGTCTTCCATTGTGCTATACTTATTGTCAATTTTGCACAGACCACAAATGGAACAGACTGTTAGTACCACCCTGTGATGGTTCATTTTACATGTCAACTTGACTGGTTTTAAGGATGCCCAGATAGCTGGGGAAAAAACAAAAACCACGTTCTTTCTAGGTGAGTCTGTGGGGGTGACTCTGGAAGAGGTTACCATTTGAATCAGTAGACTGAGTAAAGAAGAACTTCCTTGCCAGTGAGGTGGGCACCATCCAATTTGGGGGGGGGGGGTGGGGGCCTGAATAGAGCAAGCAAAATGGTGTAGGCAGGATGAATTCACTCCTTCTGCTTGGGCTGGAACCTCCATTTTCTTTGCCTTTGGACACCTGTGCTCCTGCTCCCCAGGCTTTTGGTCTCAGACCAAGGCTTACGGCATTGGCTCCCACCCCAAATTCTCAGGCCTTTGGCTCTGAGCGAGTCTTTCCTGGTTCTACTGTCTTTCCTGGCTCCCGAGCTTGCAGACAGCAGATCAGGGAACTTCTCAACCTCTATAGCCCTGTGAGCCAATTCCTAAAAGAAACCTCATCATATATATATCTATCTCCTGGAGGATCCTGACTAATACACCTTCCCCCTCACCAGCTGTTCAAACTTGTGGACTAAACCAAAATCTCTCAGAAGCACATCCCCATCAGTCACCAGATCTCATTTCAACTTTCTGCCCTTGGGCTACACCTTAAGAATCCATTTCCATGCATGTTTACCAGATCGTGGACATAAATGAGGACTTTGGGGTGTGTTTATGTCTCCTCCCAAGTTTGTCCCTGGAACTTGCTTTCTGGGCACGTGGGGACCTGACCCTGCACGGAGGGTGGTTGGGATGGGCAATGAAGGGAGTTGGCTTACCTGGTGTGTGCTAAATCCTCCAGGCGAGGGTGTTTGCAAGTAGGGTAAAGTGAGGGCTTAAGGGTAGATCCTTCCTGATGGAACTGGTGTTCTTACAAGAAGAGTCACCGAAGAACTTCCGTCTTGCCTGTTGGTTCACCAAGAGGTCATATGAGCCCACAGTGAAATGGTGGCCACATACCTGGTCCATGCGAAGAGAAGAGGCCCCAGAACGAAACCTTCTGGCCAGCACCTGGATCTTGGATTTCCCAGACTCCAGAACTGTGAGAAAGAAACGTAGTAAATGTAATAAATAAATGGCCCGTCTCCAAATATCAGCCCAACTGGGATTAGGGCTTCAACATAGAAAGGGGGGAGGGGTGGCACAAACATTCAGTCCATCACGGTTGGTATGGGAATGCGACTCAGTAGAAGAGATAACTGGTGACAGGGGAGGAGGGATGGCCCCTGGGCCTACAAGGGCACGCGCGCGCGCGCGCGCGCGCGCACACACACACACACACACACACACCGTCTGGGCGTGGCCTCAGGCATCCCTTCTCTCTAGCGCTGCCCAGATGGTGAGACTCTGCCAAGTTCGCATTAAGCGGTCCGCACGTTCCAGAATCTGAGTCCCCCTTTTCAAGGAGTTACTGTGGGAGCGCGTGGGTATTTTGGGCTTTAATTTTAGGCGACAGGTGTTTCATCCGGAAGTGCATTTCTAGCCCCGGCTCCGGGTGCCTGGAAGCGGTGGGCTCCAGGTGCATGGAAGCGGTGGAAACCGAGTCCGTGAGGGCGTGGACCCCCGCACGGAGCCCTCAGTGGGACGCGACCCCGGCGGGACCAGATCAGGGAGCGAGCCCGGAGCCATCGGGCGGCGGGGCGAGGGGCTGACCAATCCCAGGGCAGGAGCTGGCGCCTGGGCGGGGCTGGGGCAGGGGGCGGGGGCGCAGGATGGGAGGGCCTGGCCAATCCCAGGGCAGGGGTGGGCGGAGGGCGCTGGGGGGGCTGGGGCAGAGGACCAGGGGGGACTGGATCTGGGAGTAACCCGCGGTCTGCAGCCCAGAGGCGTCCACACTTTCTGCAGCGCTGAGTGTCCCAGGGGAGGCTGAGGCTCGGGCTGCCATGGCGCTGCATGCGGTCGTGTTCGACTTGGACGGGGTCCTGGCGCTGCCGTCGGTCGCGAGCGGCCTCGGCCGCGCCGAGGAGGAGTTGGCATTGCCCAGGTAAGGGCACCCGGCGCCGTGGGGGGCGGGAATCCGGCTTAGAAGTTGCCGTTCGGGATTTCCAGCCCTCCGTTCAGAGCTGTCGTTTGAGAGCCCCGCGAAAGGAGGTTAAAACAGTTACCCGGCTCTAAACCAGTACGTGTAAGTAGATACAGTGTCTTCCCAAATGTTAAGAAATTAAACCTCTCCAAGGACTCCAGAATTGCCCGCTAGAGGCAGAAAGCTGTTCCTGAAGAGAGAGGAATTACTCGCGGAGCTGCCTGCTGTCCGCCTGATTCTGTGCGATGGAGTGGATCTTAGAAACGGTCCTGAGGTTTCCAAGAGAAAAAGGTTCCGTGCCCTGCAGTTTTACCGATAATAGCAAACTAGAGAAACAGCTTCAAAACCTAATCCTCGGGAAATGGCAAACTAGTACGCAGCACCACTAACCCTGTCTTTCAGAATAATATTTCAGTGACATTGGAAAATATGTGTTAGGTGTAATAAGTGAAAAGGACAGAGCCACCGAAATGTCAAACTACTTATACAATGTGGTCTCAACTATGGGAAAAAAGCTACATGTAGAAAAATGTCTGGAAGACATATCCCCATATATCTCTGGGTTTATTAATCCCAGGTGGGATTATGAATGATTTCCTTCATTTGTCTACTTTTTTGTATTTTCCAGTTTTCCTACTTATGAACATATGTTACTCCTACAGCCAGAGGAAAGGAAAGCATATTTATTTTAAAAGGTAAAAAGGAAAGATCACCTTGGCAACACCCAAGGAAGAGTAAATTCTAAACTACTGGCAAGAACAAGGAGTAGGGTAGAAACATTGAGAGTTCTGCTCCATCTAAGGAATTCTTGATTCTTGTGATGCCAAAGACCAACAGGGCCTTTTAACCTGCTATTCTTTTTTTAAAAAAATATTTTTTTTATTGATTTCAGAGAGGAATGGAGAGGGAGAGAGAGACAGAAACATCAATGATGAGAGAGAATCATTGATCGGCTGCCTCCTGCACGCCCCCCCCCCCCCCACTGGGTATTGAGCCCGCAACCCAGGCATGTGTCCCTGACCGGAATCGAACCCGGGACCCTTCAGTCCGCAGGCCAACGCTCTTTCCACTGAGCCAAACCATGTAGGGCTAACCTGCTATTCTTATAAAGATTTCTAAAAGACTAGTGTCTGCAAACACAGCAAGCCAAATTATGTTGGGAAATCTGGAGCAACCCTCACTTTCACAGATGTGGAAACAGGCTTACCAAAGAGGTGAACTTGATCACACAATGCTTAGATATTACAGTTGATTAAAAAAACAACAACTTTGCTTTTCTGTAAGATATAACATTCCAAGACAGTCTCTTGGTAAATAATAATCACTGTAAAATGACATAAAAGAACGTTAGAAAGCCCTCGCTGGTTTGGCTCAGTGGATATAGACCTTTGGCTGCAGACGGAAGGGTCCTGGGTTCTATTTCGGTCAAGGGCAGGTACTTTGGTTGCAAACTCACATGCAGGAGGCAACCAATTGATGTGTCTCTCTCACATCGATGTTTCTCTGTTTCTGTCTCTCCCCTTTCCTTCTACTCTCTCTAAAAATTAATGGAAAAATATTCTCAGGTGAGGATTAACAAAAAACAAAAAGAGCAATATAAAGCCCATATTGTTTAGATTCAATACACAATTTCAATATGTAAAGAACAAATAATATGCAAGACTTTAAAAACGTTATGCCTGGCTTATCAGAAGTGTGCCTTGAACATTGGAAGCAATTCATAAATCCCAATGTGTGGACCCCAAACACCCAGAGTACTACTGTGGGATGCCCCCACAAGGAACCATTACTCTTGGCTTGCCTGACTCTTGCTACCCCTGAGAGCTCCCTGTTTGAATTTGGTTCTGAATTTTTGCAAGTTCCTCCCTAGGGCAGGTTGAAATTTCTAGAACATCTGTTGTAATAAAAAATGGATGTGTACATATAGAGCATAGTTACTATTTGGCAAAACTTCCCATGTAATTTCAAGCATATTAAGTATGCCTAATTAGTTTGAAAACTTTTCTTTTATAAGGAGAGAGAATAAATCCTTGAGTTATTCCAGGCCCCATTGGAATACCCCAAAGTCATCTCTTGGTTAAAAAAGTCTCTTAAAATTTAAATTTGAAAGGCTGTCAGACTTCACCAAAAGACCATAACATAAGCCTTTTTTGAAAACCTGAGTAAAACAAACACATGTTTTGCAGTAATAACTTTAAAAGACATTCATTAAATTTAAACTGGTTTTAATATTAAGTACTTTGTCCAGCCCACAGAATCCTGCTTAATTTATATAAGTATTTTAATCTTTTTAGGCTAATAAAATATTACCTCCTAGTTATACCATTTGGAAGCAGAAAATGCACCACTCATATCACATAAATCCTATACATGTAATACAAGGATAACTCACTTTCTTCCTTTTCCCTTGAAAATGCATTTCTATACTTTATATCTTCTATTATTAAAATTACTAGGGGCCCGGTGCACGAAATTCGTCCATGGGTGCGGTCCCTAGGCCTGGCTCGATCTAAGTGTGAGCCTCTGGCATGGAAGGGCGGGTCCCAGCTGACCTCTGGGCCCTGGGCAGTACCTGGGCCCCCGGACTCTCACCCACCCCCTGCCACCTGAGTCATGGCACCCGAGTCCCCACGCAGAGATGCGGTGAGTGTGACTGGACGTCACAGGCTGGGGCTCAGCGTGGGCCTCTGGGCTGCCCAGCGGTGCCACACGGAAGCTGGGCGGGCAGCACGCTCTCTCCCAGCCGGCCAGCCTCACAGACTGGCTCCTGTGCGAACCCATGGGGAGCCCAACCAGCCCCCGTACTCTTGGCGGCTGCAGCCAGGCTCACCCGGAAGAGGCCGTGCATGGGTACAGGGTGGGCTTCTGGTGGGCGCCTGGCACCTGAGCGTGGGGGGGTTGTGGGTGGGGGAGCTTCCCCGGTGTGTGAGCCCTCGTGTCCCGGGGGGAGGGTAATGGGGAGTGAGAGCGAGCTCAGCGGACACTCTGCATTCTCACCACACCTCCATCTTCATCATCCCCGCCCCCAGGTAGCTGGCGAGAGGTTGCAGCATGTGTCCTGGATGCCCGCCATGTTCCGCACCGCCCCCTGGTGATCAGCACATATCATAGGGAGCAGTCGAACCCCGTCAAACTCCTGATCGAGGGGACAATTTGAATATTAGGCTTTTATTATATAGGATTTACTGGTAATTTCTTTCCAACTTACTTGAGTTTTTAACTATTAGAAACCTCAGTTTCCAATGATAACCACGAAGTAAGCAGTCAGTATTTCCTAGATTGACTTTTATGAACATATTGCGTAACCTTTAGAAATGGGTTCCTCTGTTGGCAATTACACTCACTTTCAAGAAACACGCCTCCAATAAAGCACAAGACATTCATCAACAGCACCAATTCCACTCTACAGCCTTCAATAAAAACCAAAGCAGGCGAACTTAAGACTTGTCTAACAGTCAGCGTCTCAGTTTTTCATGTTATTTCAAAATACCTAGATATTCAATAACTTTTATCAAACTTACTAATTTAGGAAGGAATAGTTGAAATAAATTAAATGGATTTGCTCAGATATGGCTAACGTTGTTTCTGTTTGTTTTTTACCTCAACAATTAGGCTGCCACCCAAATGTTGGCGACGGACAGGCAAATCCATTCACCCATTATTGGAATGTTTCTTTCCATCATCTGTGTACGTTTTTCTGGTTTATAGACAGTACAAGCTTAGGGTTGCCTCTGAGAGCCATAAAAGCTTGGTTATATGGAATCTGTCCATTTCCCTTTGTAATGGTAAAACAGATCTAGCTGCAGCATCAGCTAAATAATTTCCTTTTGCTTTCATGGTGGCAGCTTTAGAAGTCCTGGAATTTTGATAATTGCCAACTATTTAAATTTCTCTATGGCCTCTAACAATTTTGCAACCTGTTTTCCATAGCTACTGTCAGTGTAAACATTGACTATTTGATCTTTGGCCACTGGATAAGCCTGAGTTAGAACAATTAGGCTTTTGGACAGATTTTATTCGGGTAAATAAGAACCTTTAATGGTGTCCACCATGGAAGTTATTGCATATCCAGCCTGGTAACATTCCTGCTTATCTTTTCCATCTGGAAACCAAATTAAGTCAGCATTATTAAGGAGTTTCCTATAAACCATTGCTAGAAATAAGAAGGTGGTTGGTAAGCAAAATGCCATTGTGGATGTCTTTATCCTGTAAAGAAAGTAGCAAAGTTGCTGGGTTAAGACTGTTACATGAAGTTGAAATGATTAGATGCAGAAGGCAGAGCCAGTTGGCTGACAGAAATGTAAAATGTGATGAGAATTCAGTGGAGATTTAACATAATGGGGAACATAAAGGAGAGCCCATGACTATCTTTTGCGTTTGTTTGCATAATATGTCTACAGCATAAATGGCTGTCATGCAGGGAGGGAGCCCTTTGGCTACTGAGTCTAGTTGCTGACTATTATAGCCTGTAGGTCTATGATTGCTATAGTTTTTATATGTTATAAAAAGTTAGAAAGTTTATAATTAAGGTGTCCAGAGTGGAAGTTTTAGATAATTCTTTAGAGATTATATAGCTTGTTTATTTTCTGGGTGCCACTGAATTAGATCAGGTCAATTTGTTTTTAATAAGATATACAGAGGCAGGGCCATTCATGAAAAATTTGGGACCCAATTATGACAATACTTAGTCAAACCCAGGAATCCTCTAAGCTACTTTCTTGTTTTCAGAAGAGGACAAGATACGGTTCCTCAGGGTTAATTAGCAGCCCATTTTTGGATATTAGATAACTGAAGTATTTTGCCTGAGATAGACTGAGTCAGAACCATGTCCCTTTATAGCTAGCTGTTGTAATAAGTAAATTGTGTCCTTTGGGGAGTCTAGTAATTTTCTAGAGCATAAAACTAAACCATCCACACATTGGATGAGAATGGACGCTCTAGGAAATTTAACATCATTTAAA